ATTTTAAATTTTTAAATTGATTTTAAATTTTGAAAACATTTAAAAACGGCAAAAATAACTTTTTTAAAGATTTACTTACTTACTAAAGATAAATTTACTTACTTACTAAAAATGAATTTTTCAGTAAAGATAATAAAGATAAATTTTTCACTTAAAAAATAAAAACAAATTAAAATATTACAAATAAAATAACAACAAATTAAAATATTACAAATAAAATAACAACAAATTAAAATATTACAAAACATAAAATAACAAAAAAAAAAAAGAGATATAGAGATTAATATTAAAGGATTTATTCTAAGATCTTTTTTTTTCATTTATGATTCTCTTTTTAATCACAGCTTTTAACAATAAGCTTGATAGACTAAGAACCTCCGCAAAATTATATTGGGTAGATTACGGTAATATGAGCACGTTAAGCGAAAAGCGGAACATTTTCAAAAATAACTATGCTGGATCCAAATTTTTTGCGTATAAACAATTTTTAGGGATTCCTACTCATGATCCACTTAGATATTTGGGCACCCAAAATTTTTTCTTAAAAAGAGGTTTTAAAAAAGTAGCAAAAGTGCTCATACTATCCAGACCACTTGGTAATATGACCACTTTAAATAGCTCAAAAAAATAACATTAAGTAAAAAAATACCAACCTGACAATTAGAACTAATTTCCAGAATATAACGAATCGTTATTAACAAAACTTATCATTGAGCAAATTTATTTTTTTTCAATTTTAAAACTCAACCCTTCAAACGAATAAAATTCAAATCTTTTAAATTTAAATTACAAAAAAATATTTAGTATTGTTGAAATATTAAAATTTTTTACCATGTTTTGTTTTTATTCAAAAAATAATTAAAACCACTCCTATTTTAGGACTTTAAACTAGGTGATTTCAATTAAAAACACTGGATAATTTGAGCATGCTCATATTACCCAAAAATCGTATCTTTAAATAAAGTCAAAACTAAATGTTTCTATGTATTGATTTTCAAACAAAAATGGATTGGATTTTTAGGTAACATTTATTTTTTTTATGAAAAATTTAATTTTATTATTATAGTACCAAAATTTCGCGCCACAGATTTATTCATGCGTGATGATATTATTTTAACCACGCAAAAAATTTAACAGTGTTTTATTTAGATGATAGCCGCTAATTACTGCATATAAATTTACGCTTATTGTACTGATTCCTGTTATCACCACATAAAGTCAATGCAAAAAAAACATCTAAGAAATCTTTAAGTATGCTCATATTATATATACTATTTATTTAAGTATGCTCATATTACCCTTTAAGTATGCTCATATTAATACCCTAATCTACCCTATATTAGTCAAACTCCCCAAATATTTAACAATCTAAATAAAATTTTATCAGCGTAGGCAAACTGTTTAGGATTAACGTATTTATTTTTTATCAAAGTATTTGTAATGTTTTTATTTGTTGTTATTTGTTTGCTGACAAGTTGTGGTGACATCACCAACTTATTTCTGACTCACTATAATATTACGACGTTCTTACTTAAATAGACTCAGAACTACTGGACTCTGAACTCAAAATCTCTAAAAAAGTTTAAATCAAATAAACTGTTGTTAAATATTGACAAAACTAAATGGCTTTTATAAGATCTATATATGAAAAAAAAAATACTGACAATTTTCAAAAGTAACAGTTTATAAAAAATTTATTACTATTATTATTAACATTAAAAAGTTGATAAAAATAACCAAAATCAGATCAGACATCTTAAAATTATGAAAAAAAAGAAAAGTTAATAAGTCAAGATATTGTTAAGAAATAAAGTATAAAAATAAAAATAAAGAACGCGGGTACTCAAAGAAAACAATAAGGTCTTGTCGCAGAGAAACCGCTATTGAAGAAATTAGAACGTTTTTTTGTTTGCTTGTTTTTTTATGGTTTTTCCTTTTGTTGTGGTGTTTACGCCTTGCATCAATCAAATAACTGTGTCTTTTGAACAGCTGACTCATGCGAATAATAATGTTCATAATTTTCTAAATAAATCTCTTGTGCGCACTGAATTTAATTTGTCGAAAATAATCACTGAAACTTATTAATTGCTACATATTATTCACTATACAGTATTGGACTAAATATTTGCAACTAAGATCGAACAATCCTAAAAAGTGTTCCTAATTTTACATGTCTTAAAAACGAAACGAACTATACTACTACAGCAAACAGTTCAGGAGTCTGGAGTCATAGCATGCCATAACATGAGCAATCAGCTGACAGGTGACAACACAGAGGCAGAATTTCGTTGAAAAGTGTCATTTTGCAGCGGACAAAACAAGTGTAACTTTTTTGGTTTGTTTCATTTTTTTAAGTCTAGTCCGTGTCAACGTCACGGAAGTTTTTTAATAATTAAAGAAAGTATCCAGAGTTTCCAGAAGCATGCAGAAGCTTCCAGAGGTTTCCAGAAGAAGCATCTGGAAGCATCCAGAAGTATCCAAAAACATTCAGAAGCATTCAGACGCATCCAGAAGCTTCCAGAAGCAACGAAAAGAAGCATCTAGAATCTTCCAGAACAGGTTCATTTTACTATATAAGAGACATGTAATCTGACATGTAATTCAGTCAGTATATGGAAGTCAATCAGTCAGTATTATCAAGACAGTTTATCGAAGTTTTATCAAATGTTCCACAGAGCATTATTGTATCATCACAAGGTAAATGTAACACGGTAAGCCTTGAGAAGCGTGATTATTTATTTTTATTATTTTTATGACTTCAAGTGCAAAAATGGCTCCCGACAGTCTTGGATTGAAACTAAGAAAAAAAATTATTGGCGATTACGTAGGTGGAATGTCAAAAAAAAGTATTTGTGATAAATATTGCGTGAAAAAATGGACCGTATCAAGACTATGTTCCGAAATATCGTTCTACGGGGAAGTTAGCAGCAGATAACAAAGGTGGAAGATCGCGTTCCACCACTTCTAGAGAGGATTATATGATCGTCAGATCCGTCAAGAAGTATCACTGGATATCATCAGACAAGATACAAAAGCAATTAGAGCTGTCTGTATCGGACCGAACAATCAGACGACGTGCTGTTGAAGCCGGATTGTTTTCTCGACGCCCTGTAAAGAAACCGCTGATTTCACTAAAGAAAAAAAAACAGGAGAAAAGAATCCTGCTTGCTACATCTCATATTGACTGGAATGTGCAGAAATGGCAAACTGTTCTGTTGAGTGATGAATCGAAGTTCAACATCATTGGGAGCGATGGCATTTGCCGTGTGTGTCGACCGGCCGGAAAACGCCTCGATTTACGTTACTGCTATAAGACCGTGAAGCATGGTGGAGGCAATGTAATGATCTGGGAATGTTTTTCTGCTAACGGTTTAGGTCCAATACATTGAAACGATGGAATAATGGACCGTTTCATGTATAAAAATATCCTGAAAGATGTTATGTTATGTCAATAAAATGGGTTTTTTCAGCAAGGCAACGATCCGAAACACACTGCAAAAGTAGTCAAGCAGTGGTTTTAAGACAACCACCTATCGGTGATGGATTGGCTGCCTCAATCTCAAACTTGAAGAACGTTGTCTCTAAACAGTTACATAGTTATTTCTCTAAATTGAAAAAATGCTGCACTTTTATATAAAGAAATTAAATTAGCATTATTTGGTTGCCCTTGTTTTATCCGATACTGTATATCACTGTATATAATCAATGTAATCACATTTCCAGACTGAATAAAGTACATTTCCAGATTGTTCAAAAGATTGTGCAAAAGGACCTAAAAATACAAATATTTTTAAAAACGAAATTAAGAAAACTATATCCTAAATGAAAAATAACTATATCCTAAATAAAAAATAACAAATCACAGGCTCACTATTAAATATTACAGATTTTAGAATAAATTAATAAGAAATGACTTAACTTAAACACTTAGCGACGTTCTAATTAGCGGTGAATGACATCATCTGAATGACATCATCTGAAGAAATGTGCAAACCCAGACCTTTATCTATCACAAATGTGAAGTTCAAATATTAACAAAAGCAATTGCCAGTTGATTGGAAAAAGTCCAACTTAATATGATAAATAGTAATCAAACAATTTACATTGAAAACCGAAATATGAATAATAACCGAGTTTATACAGACATAATTGCTTTAACTATAACTATAAAGAAAAAACTAGATGCATCATGGGTAATTTCCGTCGGTCAAATCTTCAGATACATCTGATTTTTGCGTTTACATTGTTGTAAATTTTTTTGACGCATGACACAAAAATCTCTGCAAAACTGAAATGTTCAAAGCTGTGTGAAAGTCTTGAACATTTCAGTTTTCAGAGATTTTCGCGTTGCTTTTCAAAACGTTCTCTCCTAGATCTGGTCAGGCATGACAGCTTTAACTTCTCATTTTCATTCTTTTTCATTGCTAGTAACTATTGGGGTACAAAAGGTTTTGTTCTTAGTCCTGTACTATTTTTCATTTATATTAATAATCTTTCTGTCTATTTTACATTAAAAGTAATTCTTCTTCCCGACGGCGCAACTACATCATTCTTCTTTTAATGATGCGATATGGCATCTTTTCTAGACAAGGTAAAAAACGTTGTACCTGTAAACGAAGTTGTACCTGGTTTATCTGCCAATTTTGAGCCACTGTCTCATTGATGGTTCTCTTTCACTTTTGAGCCATTTAGTTGAAAATCATCAATGCATTTTTGGTTATAATAAATTTTTCAAAGTATTTTCGATGTCGAAATACGTCAAAATGCGCCGAACAGGCGTCATTAAAGGCGTCATGTGTTTCCTGGGTTAGTGCATCCAGTAAACTAATATTAAAATTGAGTTTTGCGCTGTTTTTTATCTTTATTTTGTGGAAAAAAAAATCTAATTTGTGATAATAAGAGATAAGTTATATTTTAAAAACTAACACCTAAGATGAAGGAAATTTGCGCGCTGAAAAATTAAAATCATTATCTCCACGGAAACTAATTTTGTAACAATTGTGGTAAATATATTTAATGATCTCTCTCATGATGCACCTGCTTTTTATACAGATCTGATAAAAAAATATCTAGAAAAAAATTGAAATGACATTTTTTTGTTTACATTATATTACGCAATTACTTTCAAAACAAAATACAAGTAAAACTTAAACGTTTTAAATATTGATGCTTTTCAACATGGTTGATTTTAATCAACTTTGTTTGATGAAAACTTACTTTAAAAAGGTTTTACTCAAGTTAAAAATCCTAGATAAATAATGAGTTATAACTTTTGTAACTGTGTATTTAACTTTTGTAAATGTTTAATTTTCTTCATAATTAACTTCATTTTACAATGCTCTATTTCCAAGTTTATTCTTAAACTGCTTGAGTATTTTATAAATTTTGAGTATATAAATATATAGTTTCTTTTTAACTTGTTCACCACCTACTGTTTATTATACAATATTTCATCATAAAAAGAATTTTGTCATGACTTGACATTTTCTGCCTTTTCATTGTTTGCTGACCCAGGAGTTGATTCTTCTATGTAATCTTCGTTTTCCTCCATAACAGTAGTCTTTGCTAAATTAGATATATTTAAAAACTCTAAACTGCGAGGAGACTGGTTGCGAATATTAGTTGCACTTTTTAAACCAAGTCTGAAACATGTTAAATTTTCTGACTGGTTTGAATGCAGACGATTAGAATAATTTTCATCGAGATTCTTTTTATCATTAGTTAATCGCTTTGCATTATTTTCTTCTTCGTTAAGGTTTACGTTAGATAACCAGTTTGATGACGCCTGCTTTTGATACAGATCTGATAAAAACATCTTAGTAGCCAACTTTTCTAAAACAAAATTTTTTTATGTAAACAAAAAAATCTAAAAATATATGGAGCAAAAAAATTAAATTTTTTTCGCTTGTGGAAAAATGTTCCTAAAGCGTATCTTTTTTAAAAAAAATATTTTTTTTTAAATGTCATCATCAATTCTTCATATGGTTGAAGAAATGTGGATCATTTTAATTTTACATCAAAATAAGGTTGAAATTAGAACTTCAGCTCCAAAATGTTTTAAACATTTGTGAGCAGTCGCACATTCGATACAATGTTTGAAATTGACTTTAAAAACTAAATTAATTTAAAAAATTTGACTTGGATTATTTTAATTATTGATGAGGTTACCTTAAAGACTTACGCAAAGGTTGTTTTTTTTAAAAAAAAAGTTATTTTCGAATGTACAAATATTTTACACCCAAACTTAGGAACTGAGACAAGATATAAAGTAGATAAAACTAAGGTATGCTTTAAAAATTTTAGGATGAATGCTAAACGAAAAAGCATTAACAACTACCCTCTCTAGGAGTAGTTATAAACCCTAGACGATAAGTAAAAGTTGGATAAGTAAATGTTTTCCAAACTATGGTGTTGTTTTGTCCGTTTTTCAAGGTTTAACACGTCAATAAAGTAGTGTAAAATGTCCCGACGGGCATTTGTTTTTAAAAGTTACGATCTAAATGTATTTTAAATGTCTTTTAAAAGTCTTTTAAACATTAATGTTTAAAAGACGTTTAAAAGACGTTTAAAACACATTTAAAACGTAAATTTTAAAAAATGCCCGTCGGGGTAGTTGGAAAAATTTGTGAAAAAGCAAGTAACAAAAAAAAAAAAAAAGAAAAAAAAAAAAATTGCTAAGTTGCAGAACAAAAAAGGAGGCAAGAAAAAATTAGACAAAAAAAGCATTTTCAAAATATCTTATTGTTACTCAATTAACATTTAATTTTTTTACAAATATTCTAAAAATCTTTTAACAAATAGAAATGATATTTAAATCCATTTGTCAGTAAACAATAAAATATATTCTTTTTTAAAGAAAAATATTCTAAAAAGTCATTGAAAAAGTCAAAGTTTACTTCCACCACATGTGCTTTGTCTACTTTAATACCGGAATACACAGATGTCAACAAAACCAGAATCTTTATCCATGAAACACTGAAAAATTTAATTCAATTGTAGAACACGGAAAGATGCAAAGTTATATGATCTTTATTTAAAAAAAAAAACTGGTAAGAATAAATAAGTTACTTGGACTTTTTTTGTTTCAAGCCTCTAATCACTAAATTTTTTTGCAAAACATCATTTCGTCAGCCGAGAACCCAGAGACTGTATGCCTTATGGTTCTCGGCTGACGTGAATGTCTTATGCTTTCGTTCTCGTTCTCGAGAATATCATTCTTGAAACTAGTTCTATTGGACACATACCCAATTGACTGTTGAATATATAGTGATAATAAACTTCTGGTATATATTGATAATATGACAATTTGTCACGAATATACCCAAACTTTTTAAATCCTCATTTGTCATGAATATACCCAAACTTGGAGATTTTTACATGCCTAATTGTTACTTATTTAAAATATTTATTTTTAAATTCTGTTTGTTTGGAAAGTGTTAAAAATACAATAAAAGTTGTTAAATAATTCAAGAAAGCACACGCAAAACAAACCTGCAAATCATATGCAAAACAGCAATAGAATATTAGATAAGCGATTAAAGTCCGAAATATCAAGTGAAAGAACTTAAAGCTCTAGATAAAATCGACAATAAAAACTTTAAAATGTGATTTTGAAAATCATTTTGACAATGATGTGTTTTAGTAATTATGTTAGATCTATCAGTATGAAGATTAACAAATTTACAATTTCTTAAATAATGATGGCTAAGAAAAATTTTACAAAGTGCAATAGATAAACTAATTAATAATAAAAATGGTCTTTAAAATTGAAAAATTAAAAAATGTATGGTAATAATAGGGTTATGTATATTGGTAATAATAACTAAGAAAATAAACATCTATGGGGCCATCCATAAAGGACGTCATCCAAATAGGGGGGGGAGGGGGTCGAGTTAAAAAGGACAAAAAAAAAGGGGGGGGGGGGAGATTGTCAGAAAAGGACGTCACTTTATAGATTTTTTATTTTAATTTAATTAACATGGAAAACTACGTAAACATGTGTTTTTAAGAAGATAATGTATGAGAATATTTTAATTTTATTTTTCAAAGGTGTAGCAGCAGATTCAAACATCATTACGAGATGAAATAAATTTTTTTGGAGTTAAAAATAGGGGGGGAGGGGTTCAGGATTTTATGACGCCTTTTCAAGGGGGTATAGGGAAAAAGGACAACCGGTGACAAAGGGGGGAGGGGGTCAAAAATTGGCTAAAAAATGGTGACGTCCTTTATAGATGGCCCCTATTAAAATTAAAACCAATAATTTTTGTTTAAATATTCAAATGTTCATTTAATTATTTAAATAATTAAGTTAAAATAATTAATTTTAAGTAGCATCTCCAAGGTTCAAAGAAAAAGTTAGATTACATAATCGTTGTAGATTAGATAATCGTCATAGATTATATAGTAGTCGTAGATTACATAACCGTCGTAGATTAGATAATCTTCGTAGATTAAATAATCGTTGTAGATTACATAATCGTATTAGATTAGATAATCGTTGTTGATTACATAACCGTCGTATTAAAATACAATACTAAAAAAAAAGATGAATGATGAGGATGGCAAGAACTTGATTTGAAAGTTTTTTCAAAAATGAAAAATCGGATTTCCCACAACGGATCTCATTTTCTCAAGCAGCAACTAAGTGATGTGAATAACTTTAAAAAAGCAATTAATTTGATATCATTAAAAAATAAACTTTATTTACAATAGTTTTATCCATTTTTAACAACGGTTTTTGTTAAAAACAAACTTAACATAAAAAAACGAACAAGTCAGTATAATTTATCTAATCAACATTGTGAGGCTTTTGAAATCGAACTAAATAAATGGATTAAAAAAGGCATACTTATCAAATATGAGAACTAAACTATAAGAAATGTTTCTCAAAATTTAATTCTCATATTCGATAAGTATGTCTTCTTTGATCCATTTATTTAGTTCGACTTCATATAGTTGAAAGATAATTTCTTTATTTATGAAGTATTCATAAAGAAGTTTATTCAGTTAATGGAAAAACGAAAAGTCTTTCTTGTTGGCAATTCCCAACCTAAATTATGGAACTTTTGAGAATATATGTTGTTTATTGGGATAGGCGTGATCTTAACCGATGCAGTTGTAGAATTAGAATGAATTTTAGTATAAGCATTTTTTACTTCATCTAAAAAAGAAGATTGTTCAGACCTTTTGTGCTGTTCTGTCAACATATGCTTTTCTAACTCAATAATATTTTCAAAAGATTCAATAGAACTAGTCTCCTGGCAAAAACATTGTGTATTTAAACCACAATTTCTTATCTTCTTTTTTCCACATGTTTTTTCACTTAAAGTTTCCTTTCATACTAATAAATGGAACAAGCACTTCAATTGATGGTTCAACTGAAAGGTTGTTGTAAATAACTTTAACTCCGTCTCCAATTTCATAGTATTGCCACAAAGTTATGTAGTTTTCTTGGAACTCATAGGAGTAGTAGTTGCTTATATTGGGAATTTTAGGACCAGTTAAATAATCATACTCAACTTTTGCTTCACTAATCACACCATTCTTGACGCAATAACCGTATTTCACTGATTTTGCAACATCTACTGTTGTTACTATGTCATTGCCAGCATATACGCAACTTCTTAGTATTGTTTTAGCGGATGCCCTTTCCATATCGAACTGGTCTTTTCCACAGCAAGGCTCGTTAAAGTACGTAGAAGCTTAAAATTTTTATTTTTGCAGAGCTTGTACATAGATTCAACTGAATAATTAGCATTATCCGGTTTTGAAAAAATATTTACTATTTCTGGCTCATCTAGGCAAAACTGATTTAGAAATGATTTGCAATAGAAATAACAGAGCAAACACCTTGATTGCAGCAATTTAAAATTGTTTGATAAACATGCTTTTTGAGAATGTCATTTTTTTGGTAAAAACAAACATCTATATGCCTTTTTTTCCCAAAGTATTCCTTCTGACCCTCTGTAAACTTCACGGGTAATGTTTTCTGTGAATAGTCTTTCAACCAAAATGCTGTTTTTTCATCTAGTTGTTTACATGCATCGTTTTTTGCCTTTTTCTGTTGTGAATCTCTTAATAGATGTTTCATATATTTTGTGATGCTGCCTATTGATAGTTGAACATTATCACCAACATTGCATCTACATTTGCAGTAGTTCACATGTAAGGAACACAACTATTCCGTTCAAAACAACAACACGTGTCATAAGTAATATTTTTTGTAAACAATTTTTTTTACATCGGTTGAAACAATCCGCACCGCGGATGAGCATTTAATTAGAAGTTTACGGCTTCTTTCAACCGATGTCGCAAAACTTGCCCAGAGATGGGGTTTGAACCACGGATCCTTTGATCAAGATGATTTAATCAAAATGTTTTTAAAAAAGTAAAAAATCTTAACTAACTAAAAAAGATTTATTATAATATAAAATAATAATACTCAAAATCATACTCAGGAAACATATTTGGAATAAAAATTATACTCAAAAAATATGATAGAGTAACAAGGAAACATATTGCATTCAAGCCAGGATTGGAACCCAAAAACCCTAACCCAAAAACCCACCCAAAAACCCAAGAGCAAAAATCCATTAAAAATCCAACTTATTGAGTTTTTGGTCCTAAGTTTTTTATTTAAATTTTTTTTATTCATAAATTAATTTCCATTTACACTCATGATTTGATGCTGCTCAAAAATTGTTCTGAAAACAAGAATTTTAGTGAATCATAAATGAGATTTGATCTTATTTGGAATAGCAATATTCAAACTTTTAAAACAAAGTTATGTAACAATTTAGTCATCAGCAACTGTGCGTCTTGACCTTAGTATATGTAAATTTGTACAAGCATTTTTGCTTTTCCTCTTCCTAAAAAATTCTTAATTTTGCTCCAAATAATCCCAAAGGAAGAAAAGAATCTTTTAATAGACAAATGTGCAACTGTCGTTATAATCTTGCAAAACTTCCAGGTAATTTGTAAAACTTTTCTTTCTATAATTCTCTAGCGATTTGTTCCTATTTTTGTGCTTTTTACACTATCATTGAATAAATGTGTTGGATAAGAAATCTTTTAGTTTAAATGCTTAGAAGCTTAGCACAAAATCAGGATAGACTTCATTTACCCATTCCTCAGGTTCTTTTTTCTGACTTCTATCCAAGGTTTTTTCTTGACTTCTATCTAAGTTTTTTTTCTTGACTTCTATCCAAGGTTTTTTCTTGACTTCTATCCAAAGTTTTTTCTTGACTTCTATCCAAGGTTTTTTCTTGACTTCTATCCAAGGTTTTTTCTTGACTTCTATCCAAGGTTTTTTCTTGACTTCTATCCACGGTTTTTTCTTGACTTCTATCCAAGGTTTTTTCTTGACTTCTATCCAAGGTTTTTTCTTGACTTCTATCCAAGGTTTTTTCTTGACTTCTATCCAAGGTTTTTTCTTGACTTCTATCCAAGGTTTTTTCTTGACTTCTAAGTTTTTTCGAAGTAAAGTTATAAGAGTAGTAAACTTAAAAGAAAATTTTTTATCTGTATTTATTTTAATTTGATCAGATGCAAGTTTTTAACTTTTTTACAATTTTATAGTTACCTTAACATTTTGGATCTGTTAAATTGGTCTGAAAATGATATGAAAAAATTGCTTTTTTAAACGTCCTTCAAATATCATCTTTGTATCGTCTTGGACACTATGAGCAATTATAAAATCATTACTGAATATACTCCAATCATCTTGAATTAAGATAACACCACAATCATCATCAAGATCATATTTCATTACATTGATTACTTCTTCATTTACATTACTAAGAGTTCTTAAGATATCTGTTTTCTATTTGGGGGCTCACATCCAGGTCTAAATATTTTAGGCACCTAGGTAGTTGAGTCAAGATTTTCAACAATGTTGAATGGTATATTTGTTGAAAAAACCTTTCAACCTGCAACTCCAGTTCATTTTTCTGATTACTTGTTGTTGAAGTAACAAATTTAGGAACAGATGTTTGCCGTTGCATCGTCATTGCAGTTAAATGAACAATTGACGAAGATTTACTAATAAAGCTTAAAAGACATTGGCTTTAACAAACTGTCATCTATAAAAATCAATGTGCTTACACGTTTAGGCTTCGGCCTAAATTTCCACTAGTTATAATGAGCTCAATACTACGTTATGTTTTTTAACAAAACTTTAACTGTACTTGCTAAATCAACATGTGGATACATTAATGACATCCTACGAAAAAACTTTACGCAAAGTTCTTGAATACTTTCGCCGAAATATTTTTTACACTGGTAAAGATTCTTTAGAAGTATCTGGATTCTAACTTTTGAGATGAAATACGAGATTTTCTGATCTGAGAATAGCGGGCTTTGGCGTTTTATTAAACCTTTTTACAATGATATTCTAGCAATATTAAACAAAAGTCTGTTTTCAGGAGAAGTGTTTTGACCACAAATATTAATGAATGATAGATTTAAATGGCTTGGGAATGACGATGGTTTTTTGTATTTTATAGTTTTTATTAAAAATTATGATATTATAATGGGGGTTTATACTTTATATAGTCATAATTTTTAAACCCTAAGAGATTATAGTATAAAATTTAAAATTTATCAATTTAGTTGAGAATAATAAAAAATTATTTTATCAACTTGTTACTCCATGTCTGGAGTAACATGTGTTACTTGTTATCTCAAACATTAAAAAATGTCAAACATTAAAAAATGTTAAAAAAAATATTATTGTGTTATAACTTACCATTTGGATAAGATTTTGATCTCTGAGAAATGTCTAAAAAATTTGTTGGATTATAGTACCGATCATCAAGATTATAGGACATGTGTCTTGTCTGATCCAAAGTAAATGGTTTTATTACTCGATTGTTAAACTGGCTGTGGTTTGATATACTACTGTCAACACTGTGTACACTGCCTTCGTAGTAGATATCATTTATAGAACGATCATCTAAAATGTTTTAAAAAAGTTGAACGTTGAACTATTAAATAACTACAACTATTTTTGAAATACATCTATATATCTATATATCTATATATATCTATATATATATATATATATATATATATATATATATATATATATATATATATATATATATATATATATATATATATATATATATATATATATATATATATATATATATATATATATAAAAGGCCGGCGCAATAGGGGGTGTGAGGGGTGTTACACCCCCCCCCCCATCAATGATATTTAGTCGGCAAATTTGACCCTTAGTCGGCAAATTTGATTCTATTTGACTAGTTAGTCGGCAAATGTAGACCCTGTCGATAGGTTAGTCGGTAAATTTAGACAGTCAGTCGGCAAATGTCGTCATGGCAGTCGGCAAATTTTCAAAAACGAGGACCTTTTTTTTTTTTTTTTCTTAGTTGGTAAAAGTTGTAATGGCACCTTCCCCACCCCCACCCCCCACACGTGACACTTACTTGCGCCGGCCCTGTATATATATATATATATATATATATATATATATATATATATATATATATATATATATATATATATATATATATATATATATATATATATATATATATATATATATATATATATATATATATATATATATATATATATATATTATATATATATATATATATATATATATATATATATATATATATATATATATATATATATATATATATATATATTTATTATAGTAATGATTACAATAATTATTGTAATATAAATAGTAAAATTAATAATATCAATAATTAAAAAAATATATACATGTAATATAATTTCAGCTTACCTTTTAAAGCATTATTCTGAAGAACTATTGCCGGTAATACTGCATTTTTTTGAGGCGGTGGCCATGAGCTTTCAATTTTTTTTGCTATGTAAAAAGTAATAAATAAGTAATACAACTATCTTAATTTCTGTTTCAAAATTACATATGTTTTGGAATGAACTGAACCAGGTAATCAGCTATCAAACATAACTGGAAAAATATTAAATAACTTGTTTTCTGAAAAAATCTATAGTTTTGCGCTAAACGAACAAAAATGATGGCTGACTTTCGAAACTGGCTTCAGCGCGTTTTATATAATGGTATATACCATATCGTCTCCAGTGTATTAAATCTACATAGTGTAATTATATTACAAAATAAATGTATTTATAGTATAGTTTTTGAAGAAATAAGTGTTATAAAAAAAAAAAATTCGAATAGCTTGAAAAAAACATTTGCGGGATGAAATTTATCTCATATTTTCAAAATTTCCTTTATTGGTTGGTAATAACTTTCAGAAGATAGTTGAAGAACTATTTAGCAAACAAGTGTTGAGCGTGGTATTTAAGTGTGAATGTAGCACAATAACAAAATACCTGGTCACTGTCAATGATGCAGAAAGCAGCATTTGTGTTTAAAAGAACAAGAGTTTGAGGTGTTTCAAAATTTCTTTTTGAAAGGGAAGTTGTGACAATTGAAGCAGTTAAATTAGCAATACAGGCAGATATTAAAATGATTTCACATCATAGTACATATTGGCTGGTAACAATTCATAAAGATGCCAATAAAGTAGAAAAACAGATGTGGTCTGAAGCCTTAACAAATATTTGGCTGAAAATGATGATTTTTCTTTGCCTTGTTGCAATATTGACGTTATTTTTAAAAGAAAATAGCATAAGTAACTCACGGATAGAAGATTATTTGTAAAAAATAACTTTTTATTTATTTGTGGTTCTCATCTTCTTAGAAATACTGTTAAAGGTTTTGAATACTCAAGAACAGAGTTGTTCAATAAAACAACCATTCAAAAAGAAGAACCAAATATAACAATTTTAGGTGTTAAAGTAGATTCTGCAACAACAAAATTTAACAATTAAAACGCCATGTTAAGTTTATGAAACGTTTATGAAAATGATCTTTAGACTAAAAAGGTTTTGTATAAAAACATAATTGGTGTCATACAAAGGTAAAAAAAAAAAGATCAACAGAAAGCAGTCAAAACAAAAATAATCTTTTTTTTCACACTGATTCAAATCACATATTCCAAGTGGTTTTAAACTTTGAAATAACAAACATAGAGATTTTAGTTTTGTTTGTGTAGCTGCTTTGGGGAGGCAAATGAAGATTAGGCTAAACGTTTGAATTAAAATTTTGTGACTTGTACGGTTTTTATAATTAAAATATATATTATTTTTATATAAAAAAATAATATATATTTTTATTAATAGACGACTTGAAAAATTGCAAATTATATGAATCAGGAAAACAAGATAAAAGGAGCGAATTGCAAAGAACTGATGTTTAAAGTAAAAAACGATTAATGAGAATTTTTGGAGCACTTAGGAACAATTGCAGCAATAGGATAAGACTTAATTGAATGATGAGTAGCATATTTAGCAGATGGTACAAGAGGTACTAGCTCTTTAAAGCAGCGACTATTATATTATTTATAGAAAAAAGAAAGAGAAGCAACACAACGACGATGTGACAATGGTTGAAGGATGGCTGCAAAAGCAGGTTTATGTATGTTTACAATGCAATTTTTGCACCTTTTCTAAGGAAGAAAGAGCCAGATATGTCAACAGTATTCTATTCACGGTTGATTTACGCACATGATTGCAATGAATTTGATATATGGTTTCCAAAAAAGAGTTGATGACTCATTGAGTACATTACAGGTCATAAATATAGGAAGATCTAGATTGTTACAACAACAATTAGGGGAAAAATTGAATTTTATTTGAGTTAAAGTTCACCACCCACTAAGAGCTGAGACTTCTAGTGGCTGGTAAAATTTAAACTTCTGCTGTAGCAAAAGTGAGATCTTTTTCATGCTCAAATGCTCCTTCCAAGAAATCAGAGAGTGTTGGCATCTTATCAAGACAAGAGTAAATGGTACTATCATTAGCAAACAATGCCACCTCAGGAGTGAGAATTTCTAGGAGGTTGTTAATGTAAATCAAAAAAAGTATCGGTCTAAGGATACAACCTTGAGCAACCCCTGAAGTTACAAAAAATGAAGAAAAATGCGGACCATCGAAGACAACCTATATTCTGCAATTGGAAAAGAAGAATTTAATAATCTTAAAAATGTTACCTGATACACCATAAGAAGACAGCTTATTAAGAAGACCAGAATGCCAGACTTTATAAAAAGTTTAAGAAATATCAAGAGAGATAGCCCTAACCTCTCCAGATCTATCTCACACACGGTAAAACCTATCAGTTATTTACATTAACAAATCAGCAGTAGAGCAAAAAGATCGAAATCCATATTAATGATCAAAAAGTAAGTTATTAGACTTAAAATGAGAAATTTAGTGTTTGTTAATTAAAAACTTAAAAACCTTGCTTATGATAAGAAGAAGACTAATGGCACGGCAGTTAGACAAGACTGATCGCTCTTCAAAATTTTTTTAAATAGTTAAATAGTTTTGAAAGTATAGACGACTCCGGAGAACACCTCTGCAATACTATAACACGTAAGTTGTCCGGATCACAAGCTGTTGAAGAGTTTAAGCAGAAAATTACTTTAGATACAAAAGCTGGAGTAATAGAAATGCCAACCAATTGATCAACGTGTTTGTCGCCAATAAGGTAGGATATGATTAATTAAGAAATGGATATGATTAATTAAGAAAGTGTAATTAAGAAATAAGATTGTCAAAAAGTTCTAAGCAAACAATTCAGTTTTGACTTTAGGTGAGGTAACAAAATCTGAACCATGCAAGAAAGGAAGAATAACAGATTTTTCCTTATTACAAACACTGGTAAAGATTCTTTAGAAGTTTCTGGATTCTAACTTTTGAGATGAAATACGAGATTTTCTGATCTGAGAATAGCGGGTTTTATTAAACCTTAACAATAATATTCTAGTAATATTAAACAAAAGTCTGTTTTCAGGAGATGTGTTTTGACCAAGAATATTAGTGAATAATAGATTTAGATAGCTTGGGAATGGCGATGGTTTTTTTTGTTTTATAGTTTTTAATACTTTATTCATTATTTAAATTGGTTAAAGAAGTTGACTCAAAGTTCAGATAGTACTTAATGCACTATCTAATAGTCCAAGTGATTGCCTATTTGAAAAACCCATGCAATAAGTGAAGAATATCTAGCATTTAACATTCTACACTAAAAACAATGTATTATAAATACATCTATGTCAGCCTAACAGATGAAGAATGGGTGCGAAGCTTGTCAACAGATAGAATCTGTTTACCTCTTAAGTCTTTGCCTAAGAGGCCTTCTACAAGTCAGTAGCCGGATGCATTTAACGTTTTTATTAGATGAGTATTGAGTTGGTATTGAGAGTAAAGAGATGGTATCAAGACAACATCTCTAGCCTTTACTTAACTAAGAACCTCAAGGCATAGGCGGTGTTAAGTCAGGTATCGCATCTCCTAGCCTTTGCTTTTACCACAAAAAAAGGGAGTCTGGGCTACTGTCGAAGTGACATAACTTTCAATTAAATTATTAGATGTAATGATGAATCAGACTGTACAACAAAAAAAGATTTCCATAACTACAATAATTAATCTTAGTCGATTTGAACGTTCTGATTTTTAATTTACAAACGAACTTTCGAATATTTGAATATTTTGACCTATTCGCCTTTATCATCCCTCATTCTTGTGCGACCGTGGCGCAGCGGTTAGAGCGCTTGCTTTATAAGCACGAGATCCAGGTTCGAAACGAGCTTTGGACATATTTTCGCGTTACGGTAAGGAATGAGGCGTGAACTTCCTGGTTAAATCCACTTCCACGGTGCTCTGTGACAAGACCGTTAGGTCTTCTTGGGGCACCTAAATAACAACAAAAACAAAAAATTCTTGAAATACCTACTGTTTCTTTATTTCCATGAACTACTACAAAACATAAATGTAAATTTTACATAAAACTTGTATATTAAATGCCTTATGAATTATTAAAATATAAGCATGAACTTTGCTACAGCTACTTAAGTTGTATAACATACATAATTATATAATATTCTTGTATATTTGCATATCTCAACCTTGAAAACTTGTTGAGCGGGTAACGAAATGCATCAGTATTGCTGTCTAATTAATTAGAAAACTTTTCATGAGTCTTAACTTGATATGAGATTGTCACAATCAATCAAAGGTGGAAGTACATTTTTATTTCTTGGCTGTATTTTTTCTATTATTATTAGCCGATTCTACTTGTTCTAGTGGTACTTCCTATTTCTGCTGTGCCCATTCCCTTATGAAGCGGTAGTGCTATGTGTACCCTGTCTGCATTTTCGCTCATATAAAATTACTGTACAAGACTTTTATGCCTGTGACAAAACTTTTTTGTTGTTGTACCCGGTGCAAGCAAATGAAATTCATTCAAACGAGAACCGAACAGTACTGCTTGGGCTTCCAGTGCCAGAGCTCTTACGAGGGTGCAAATTCAGCATAATTAATCAAATGATTTCCTTCTACAGAAGTTTTGTAGTCATAGGCAATAAATAAAGAACCCAAAAAGAATCTTTATGTTTTTCTTTGCCACTGATGGAACGTCTGAGTTTTTCATGGTTGAGCAAGTTTTATAGAAGTTTCCACGATGCAAAAATAACGATCTGTTGAAGGATTAGTTTTCTCACGCCATATCATCGGAACTCTATATAAGATTGGCTATAAGATAGTCAGGCTACAAGATTTTCGATGTATATACTTTTCAATTTGAATGAAAGTTACTTACAGGGATATTTTTCACAAAAAAATGATGCTTACGGGGACAACAGATTAACGGGTACACAAAGATGCCCCCAAAATTCCTAATGTCCCCGTATAAGTATGCATTTTTTTCTACATGATATATATATATAGGTATATATTTATACATACATATATACAGTGGTTTTCATAAATTTAGAC